CAAATTCACTGATCTATATAAAGATGAACGTAGATCAGTGGGCAAGATGAGAACTTAGAACCAGAAGTTGCTATATTTGTCCCTAAACTTTTGAAAAAAGTCTCAAAAGGGGTGGGGAAGTCGCTAAATCTAGCTACAAAGTAGCTAAATTGGCAACACTGGTACTCATGCCAACAGCTGGTGTGCTCAACACAACCCAGCATTACAATGTGCCATAATTCCAGCCAACTATATTTTTTCCCAAGCACATTTTACCAATTCCAAACGACATCAATCTTAATAACTACTATTAATCTTGTATTTAATCATTTATAATTGATATATAATTATTCATGAAGGCTGAACGCTAAAGTGAAAAATGTCTTATATTCAGGTGTGCATAATAATTAAGCAGATTTTCTTTTACAGATAAAATGAGCCAAAAAAGAGATTTAACTCAGACTGAAAGTGAAAAATTATTAAATGCCCATGAGAAATATTAAAAACTAATACAATACTAGAAATTGTAAAGTTATAACTATTGCATATGGTTATTGCATAACCATTGGACAGCAAAATGCTCAGTGGGTCAGCAGGGTCAGTCAAAAACATGTGGAGAAGAAAAGATGCACGTTAACCACAAAAGAATTAGGAATTAAGATGAAGATTTAGGTGTGAAATCACCAGGAACCATTTAGTCTCCAGCGCCACCATTTTCATAGAACTGCAACCTACCTGGAGTCTCCAGAAGTACAAGGTGTCAGGTTCTCAGAGACTTAGGTTAAGTATAGAATCCTAAAAAATTACCCCTACTTAATAAGAATCACATACCGAAGTGTAGTAAAATACTTGAAGACTGATTTATATATATATATATATGTATACATGTATATATATGCTTTATATATATATGTATACATGTATATATATGCTTTATAGACAGATAAGTTGAGAGTGACTCTTGAAGGACCAGCACCACATCCTCTTGTACCACTGTTTGAAGAATTTATCTTCCAGAATCTGGCAGTAAGTTTTGGGAGTTCATTTTTAGTCCATCTCGAGGTTTTATCTGTAGAAGATAACGTGCTTAATAATTATGCACACCTGAATATAAGGTGTTTTTCACTTCCAGCCTTCATGAACAATAATATATAGATTATAAGTGAGTAAATACAAGATTAATAGTAGTTATAATTATTGGTAAAATGTACTTGGAAAAAAATATAATCAGAATATCAACTTGCATAATAATTATGCATGCACTGTATTTTTCATATACAGTGTACTGTACTTGTACTACACATACTTTTTAATATTACATATCACTTTTACTGTGCACTGTATCAGTGCATAATATTTTACCACTGTAACTGTAAGTTTTACTGTATCCATAAAGGATTATCAGTTGCATTTGTTATTGTTTGTTGTGGAGTTTATCTGTATAGAGTGCTATCAAAATAAAAAGCAGACTACCAAGAGTGTCACTTTTTAATTTGTATTCGCTGGTTTTATTCAATTTTCTCAATGATGGTAAATTATTAGTGCTTAAAGATGTATAAATTAGATTTTCTTCCAGTATTTCAAAGGGAATGAGCTGTGTTCTGACCTGAAGCACAAGAAAAGCTCAAATGTTGGGGTTGAAAACAGAGAAAGCAATGAATCAACTTAATTTAATTTAATGTACATTCAAATTACAAAACATGTATATGTCACAGTTATACTACATTAACATTAGAATTGCAAACCGAAAAAATCAATCAAATTAACAAGTGAGACAAGTGTGAGTTTTCACAATTTCTTATGAAAATTAATAATTTTCCAAACCTAACTAAATAACTGAAACCTCTGAAATCGGTTGATAAATGTAAACGTTATCGTGTTTTTATCCAGAAAAAAATGCAGCTCCTCCGTTTAACGTTACCTCCATTTATTTTAAAGTCTTGCCTTCACAAAAATGGCGGACGAGTTGACGTATCGCAGCAACGGCTCAAAGTAAGGAGGACGAAACCTGCAAAAACAATAAATAAATAAATACACAAATAAATAAATATATATGCAAATAAATATATAAATGTGTGTATAAATACACAAATTCTTGTTTAAATACATATAGAAATAATTAAACGTGATTAAAGTAGGCAAATAAATAAAATAAATTGGTGGGCAAATGGAAAATGTTTAAGGAAATGCTAAACTCATCCTATTTATTTTCCTTTGATCACTCATTTATTTCTGAATGTAGTTCCGCATTTATTTTTCCTCTGCACAACATGCTAATGAGAGGGTGTCAACCATGGACTTGGTCGGGGTCATGTCATAGCTGGGGGCGCGGCTTTCCCGCTGACAGGAAATGCATGGTGTAAATCCAGTATAGCCTAGTAAAGTCAATTTTGCCATTCAGATCTCTCTCTCTCTCTCTCTCTCTCTCGCACACACACACACACACACGATGCGCAAAAAAAATGCAGAAATAAGCCGTAATTTTGTTTTATTTGTAACTCTTTGGTAGATACATTAATGATTTCTATTACATTACTACTACTACTGTTACTACTAATAAAACAGATCTCTGGGGGCCCCAAAAGTGCGTGGGCCCTTCGAATTGTTCTAACTCCCCCCCCCTTAGCGGCGCCCCTGCTACTGACATTTGTTAAGACATTTGCTTTAAAGGGGTCATATGATGCTTTTTTAAAGATCATTATTTTGTGTATTTGGTGTAACAGAGTATGCTGACATGCTTTAATGTCTAACTTTGATAAAGTATATCTCTTTGGTTTTGAGACTTAGTCTTTGCAACTTCAGGGATCTTATCTATGCACAATCAGCTTGTAACACTCCAAAGAGAAAGGAAAACTTGAAATCGCATCATATGACCCCTTTAAACATTACAATGCTCTACAATACATAAATCCACTTTACCAGCTAAATTACTCTTAGACAGCGATGCCATAGAACTATACAGAGCTACCGCACAAACGGAAGTTCAAAGACAATATTCTAACGAAGGCGACGCGCTTGTCTTGCTGGAGAATAAGGTCAATATTGAATGTAGCTGAAAGAATACGAGATTCAAAAGCAGCGGGCGCGTTTCCTCCTCCCTCCTGACACGCGGTGACCTTGCTTCTGCTCGCGCGACTCCTCTAAACACGCCGCTGCCTTTTAAAGCGCGAGACGGCATGAGCGCTGTCACTTTGACACTGAACGAGGCAGGCTCGGGAGCTTCCGTAGTCTCGTTCATTTACCCCCCCTTTTCGTTTCCCTTTTTCACCTCGTCGAATACCCATCATCCTTTAATTTCTTCTTTCTCCATTGTACCGTAACTTTCAAAGCCCCTTGTCGCCATGTACCGGTATTTCGGGGAGCTGCTGACTCGCGGAGCGGGGAACGCTCTGGCCTCGGGATGCGTCGAGTCCGCTCTGCCGGCTTCCTCATCTCTGCTGAGGGTGCGTCACTACAGTGATGCCGCTGACAAGGAAGATGACCCGAACTTCTTCAGGATGGTGGAGGGTTTCTTCGATCGTGGCGCTGCTATTGTCGAAAACAAGCTGGTGGAGGACCTGAAGACCCGGGAGACGCCGGAGCAGAAGAGACACCGTGTGCGGGGGATCCTCAGAATCATCAAGCCCTGCAACCACGTCCTGAGCGTGTCCTTCCCCATCAAGAGAGACAACGGAGAATGGGAGGTTATCGAGGGTTACCGGGCACAACACAGCCAGCACAGAACTCCCTGCAAAGGAGGTAAGGGATATTGTTTTTTTAATACCGTGCATTAAGAAGGCATAATATATCAGTTTACGTGTTTTGCGCAACAAGATATTTGACAGCAGTTTCATGGTAAGTGCGTTCATGCTGACAGTTGTTGACACAATGACTTGCAAACCAGTGTGTGCCCTTTTATTCATTTTATAATGTTTTTGTTCGACTTTAAACGTGGTATTTGTATAGATTGGACTAGTTCTGCCCTGTCAATAATACAGCACCTTGACACACCTTGCACCTGCACAGGTGTATGTATCACCTGGGGAGAGAGGCCAGACACTGAAAATTCTCCAAAATTCTGTTTTCCATTTATTTTTTGTGGATTGTATGGTTTCATTCCCATTCATTTCTATTGTGAAATATAATCTCTAATCAAATTAATTCGGAACCTTTTGCAATTACAACTACATTTTTGAACTTGACTTTAGTCAAAATAACAATTAGTCTGCTATATTAAGTCGACTATTTGGTCAAATGAACTGCATCGATACAGAGCATAATCCAAAACAACAAAAAATGCATAATTCTATTTTTTTATGAAATAAAGCATTCCACAACTTTATAAGAGTTTTGCAGAAGACATCTATAGCTGAGTCACAGCACAACACCACCCTTGCTTGTGTTATTTCTTAAACTTTTACAATATATTGTTATTATTACTATTATATTTTACTACACAATAATTATAGATTATTCAATTTCACATGTCAGGTTAAGCCGAGATATTATTTTTGATGGAAAACTGAATGAAAACCCTTGTTTTTCTGTGTGTATTTGTCAAAAATGTTTTTATTAAACTTCCTATTTCAAAAGAAAATCGTACAGCCCTATTAAAGACTATCAGGTTTAGGGTTTTTTATGTGCCTTGCTTTGTTACTTTTGTTTTTGGATAAGCTGTCTGTGGTTTTTGTCTGACCTCAGAATATGCTTCCTGCTTGACATGTTTATTAGTCATTAATGTGAACATTGCAGTTTCAACTGTTTATACTAACTTGCAACTGATTGTACCCTTATGCCAAACATGGGCAACAAGTTGTCTCAAGTCAACTGTGTGTTTTCAGTACACAAAGAATCATTCATATCGTTCAGTTAGGTTCAGAAGGTTCATTCATGTTAGGTTAATAAACAATTTGCCTGGGTGCTAGCTGATAAGGAAGAGGTTGATACATTACACAGTCTATAATGAATAAAAAAAATGAGATGTGATGTGTTTACTTTCTGTGATTTAACAACAAGCATATATTCCAATGAAAGGGGTTTATGCCCATACCGAGGCACATCCTCATGTTGTAAATCATGGGAGTCCCACAGAATCGCATTCATTCTTAACAGCAGTGGTCATCAAGAGATTGAGGCCGTGCGTGCAGAGTGGGAGGGGGAGATGTCATCCTGGCACTGCATTGTGGGTGATTTGTGGGGTGACGTATCGTGAGAGAGAGTTGTAATGGTGGATATGGGGGTGGGGCTCAGGCGCTCTGGCTCGTCATCTGTGTGACAGGACCACTCTGCTCACGTGTACACATAGCATTTGGAGACATCTAACTCACCAGTGTGTATTTTGCATCCATCCAAAATTCTGTCATTCACATACCTTCATGTAGTTCCAAACCTGTGTGACTTTAATTCTTCTGCAGAACATAGGCTAAAGATATTTTGTATAATGTTGGTAAGAAATGTTTCAGTTCCCGTTAGCCTTCATAGTCTTTTTTTTCTGTCAATGAAGCCAATGGTAACCAAAAATGTTTTCTTACAAACATTATCAGACAGTCATAAATGTTTGGAACAACATGAAGGTAAAATGATGGCTGAATTTTCATTTTTGGGTGGACTGTCCCTTTAAAGGATATTAATGTGATTGTAGCTATGCATGCAGCAATATTAAATTATGAGATAGTTGTAGGTCGGTTTGACAAGAAACTCTTATGTGTTTGAAAAGTTGTCATTCTCTCATTTGTTTTGTTTATCTGTGTCTTGCAGTGAGTCAGTAATTTTTAAGGCCATAATTTTCCATGAGAAAAATACTGATCGCCTTTTTTACTTTAAAGTGCTTATAGCTCACCCCATCTATTTTCTAAATGTATGTTTTTTATGTTATTGTGAAAATTGTATGCTTGTTTTACTTACCACCCCTCCAAGGTCATGATCATCTGCCTCCATATTTAAATGCAACGCCCACATTTCAAAATCCAATCAACCACTGCTGCATAAAACCAAGTCCCCACCATTTAGTGCATTACATTCGGATGTACACCACAATGTCGAAAAGAAAATATCTTCTTTCATTTCATTGTGACTTTAATGAACACCATCAATGTGATTCTGATAAGACCAGTGATAATAAGCATCTCAGTACAACAACCTTTTATTTTTAACGCATTATTTTCTCATCACAAACCAATACCAGTTAGCAAATTTATTAAGTGTGCGTACTTTTTGAATATCATGCATAAAATACCTCTTCAAATATTGGCTTTTGGTGTAAAGTGCTCCATTATCAGGCATAAAATGGAGCACCTTGGGTAAATCATGATGCATCGGAAGACCAGCCAATCAGAAACGCTCGCCGCTTGTAAATCATTGTTCAGGTGGTGTGTAGTTAAAATTTGCAAATGCCTGAAGTCAGCAAAACGCCCGACATCAAATGCAGCCCCTTAAATCGTTCATGCAAGGCAGACACTTGTTCTCCATGGCTCGAAGACACTAACAAAAGTGCTGTGATTGACATTATCTATGTGTAATAGACAAGATTAGGTACACATTACAAAGTACAAGAGCAATTCAGTCATCACACACTGTCAGCTAAAGGCTCTGCCTTTAACTGAAACATCATCTGTTAGCCAAAGTCGTGCACGTGAATGTCGGAATCACTGGATCAGCAGAAATGCTTGGCTGCGTATCCTGTATATGTGCAAGAGTAATGGAACAAAAAGATGGCATGAGTCAGACTTGTGCAGGAAGTGCACATCCTGGTTATGATCAAGCACTAGGTTG